CAAACTCCTGTTTGGCCTCTAAATCCCCTCACAACCTGACCCCAACCTACATTTCTGACCATATTATAAATGCATTATTCCCCTACCCACAATTCCAGAGTGGCCTGGTTGCTGTTCCTCTCACATGTCACTCCAGTCTCAGCCGTGTCTGTGCAATGGTTATCTCATATGTCTGGAAGGCACTCACTCTTCACTTCTGCCTCTTAGCTTTATTTCCTTCAAAACTGCTCAAGGGCCATTTTCAGCAAGAAGCTTTTCCTGATCCCTCCCAGCTGACGGTGTCATTCTCCCCATACACACACTCACACAAGAGCTTTATATTTATGTTGTGTATACTTTGTACATACTTTACATAAGCATATCCACAACTCAGCATAATGCCTGGGAGTTAATAAATGTTTATGAGCTGACCAACTTGCTGTCCACCTTGATGAAATGTGAGCTTTATAGAGGTGAGGACTATTGAATTTTTGTTATTGTATCCCTAGCACACAGCAGGTGTTTAATAAATGCTTGTTGATTGATTCCATCCCTAAAGCCTAGGCACCTCTAGAAGAAGAACTGGTGAAGGAGACAAAGGAGGAAGAGTCAAAGAACAGAAAGAAAAAGGGAGTTTCAGTGAGGAAGGAGAGGAAGGAAAAGCCAGTGTCAAATGCTGTGTTCTTGTTTATCTTCCATACTTGAAGAGGACCAGTCAAATCAATAGTCAATCAAATATAATCCACTACTATAGACAAGTCAAGGAAGGTGAGTACTGAAGGCCACTGGACATGTTAAAAGGGTGCAGTGGCCAGAATGCTAGACTTGAAGTCAGAAAGAACTGGATTTGAATCCTGCCTCTGACACTTACCAGCTGTGTGGGCCATGGACAGGCCACTTCTCTGAGCTTCAGTTTCTTCATCTGTAAAATGGGGATAATAATACCTTGGAGATTCACCATGAAATTCAAATGAGAAAATGTATGCTAAGGCCTTAGCATAAACTAAGGCAATTTTAGTGATCCTTGATAAATGGCAGCTTGGATGAAATGTTGGGAATGGTACCAAAACTACAAAGAATTAAGGAAGGAATGAGTAATTAGGCAATGGATATAGCAAGTTTGGGCAGGGGGAGGGAAATATGCTAGTGAAAGGAAGACCAATAGAACTATAGGCAAAAGGGACCTCAGCGGGCATTTGGCCTAACCCTCTCATTTCACAGAAGGAGAAACTGAGGTCAGGGAAATGACATGATTTGCCTATGGTCTCACAGGATTTGAGGATACAGGGTTTGAATCCAAATCCTCTGAACCCAGAGTCAATGTTTCCACTGGACTACGCCACCTCCCACAGAAGACTAGAAATAGGACTACTCAGGGAGGTAGTCTCAAGCACATCAGTTGTGTTCTCTTTGCGCACACACACACACACACACACACACACACACATACACACACGCACATGCATATGTGCAGGTGCGTGATATTGATTTATAAACATAAAACAAGAATGACTCAATCACAGTGCTGTCTTAATGCTCAGCTTGAAACAGGAAACTTTAAATTAGTGTTCTACAACAGTGGTTAGCTCTCACTCATATATCTAGTTAATTTAGACCACGTGTGAATGAATAAGAAGCTATTATCTAACAACATTTGCACAAAAGGATTTCTAACAGGCCAAGAAATGGGGTGAGGGAGAATGTACAAAAGTGAAGAAGCAAGAAGTTTAGTTTCGGTAGGAAAATAACAGAGGTAACACTACTATGAACTTTCAATTATCCATGGGCTGCCTGGACTTTTACTTGACCAGCAAAGAGGTTAGGGGAAGGCCCAGAAAAGGAGTCTCTGAGTATTATGTAGATAATCATAGAACTATGATCACATGATTTAGTAAGAGGGTAGGGGGCTGACAGGGAGTAGAGTTGTCTGTTTTGAAACTGAATTATCAAGGCCTCTTCTCTCCTCTATTAGTGTAGGTAGCTAGGAATTAATGACATAGTTCAATGAAGATTTGAGAGAGAGAGGAGAGAGAGACTATATACACTACATATATATATATATATATATATATATATATATACATATATATATATATACATATGTATACATATATATATATATATATATAGAGAGAGAGAGAGAGAGACAGATTCAGTGTAATCACTGTATGATATTTGACTTCTGACCTAATCTGGGAAATCATATTTCTTTAGCATTTCTATGCCTGGTGCTACTTTAACAAGCAGGTTTGGTGAAAAGAGTACTGGGCTAAGAATCCAGAGAGAACTGGGCTTGAATCCTACCTCTGAAAATTGCTGTGTGGCCATAGACAGGTCACCTCCCCCTGTCTCAGCCTCATTTTCTTCCTCTGTAAACTGTAGATAATAACAACTTTTATACCATACTTCAAAGGGTGGTTGTGAAGATCAAAGGAGATAATGTATATAAAGTGTTGTATAAACATTAAATCACTATATAAAGGTTAGTTAGTATTATTATTATTATTGTTACTATTGGATAAGGGGGGGGGGGATAATAAGATACAAATCAAGTGCTTAATGAGATACTGATCCAGAAAGTGGTGGGAATGAACAGACTACAGTGTAGTGGGCACTGTCAGTGAGAACTTTATTTTCATAACCTAATAACACCTATCAAAACACTCTCCTGGGAATAAACAAAACAGATTCTGTAACATCCATTTTACAAATGAGGAAACTGGGGTTTGAGAAACCTGATACTAAAATTTAGACCTCACGACTCCTTTCCTTTCTACTAATAAGAGTTCTCCAGGGAAACTCTTGAAGCAAGAAGCTGTATTACTAGCAAAAGCTCATAAAAGATTGAGTTTAAGATGGGATCGTAGGGATCAGATTTCAAACTGGAGGGGACTTTGGAGGTCATCTGGTTCAACTTTCTCATTTTACAGATGAGGAAACAGTGACCCAGGTAGGTAATTAAGGTCACACAGGTAATAAGCAGCAAAACCAGGATTCAAATCCAAGTCTTCTCCAAATCCATTCCTTTTCTACTCCCCAACGCTGCCTACTTCATTTGCCCACAAATTACAACATTCAGAACACAGATGACAGAGAAGCTAAACAGATTGAAAAATAATGTGCAATGGATATGGCACTGATACTTCAAGGCAGTATCTGACAGTCAAAATCATCAAATGCCCTTCTCTTTCACCCACACGTCTCAGGGGTACCTCTAGTGTGGCATGCCATGGGATAAGAGGTCTGATTCACCACCACAGTGCCATACAGAGTTGAAGGTATTTCATTGCCATGATGAAAAATCCTGAGTCATCCCAACTCAGGTGTAATGCAGGAAAGGGGCTGAGAAAAGAGTTTATCTTAGTTGAAAAAAAAAACTGAAATGTACACACCTGCCCCTACTACACATTAAACTATCAAGCTGCCTTTGGAAGACACTGCTTTCTTTGTAGCTGGCTGAGAGTTAGAGCTCCTGTAACAATAGCTCACATTGATATAGGTATATACATATACATATACATTTTTATATATATGGAGAGAGAGAGAGAGAGAGAGAGAGAGAGTGTGTGCAAAGACCTTATAACAAGCTCTTCCACAGTGGTAGTTCAATTTTAAACATCCTTATTTTAGGGATGAGGAAATTTGGGCTCAGAGAGGTTTGGCGCCCTAATAGAGTTTAAAGGTAATTTAAGGTGTTTCCAACCTCCTCATTTTACAGATGAGGAAACTAAGGCTCAAAAAAAAAATCAACTGGCGTGGGTATGGTCAATCAGCTATTAAGTGTCAAAGGCAGGATTACAAGCCAGGTCTTCCTGACTTTAGATAGCATGCTAAACACTATGCCACAATGATTCTTGTCTTGCCCATGGCCAGATAGATACTAAGTGGAAAAGCCAATATTTAAATCCAGGAACCCTCACTACAACCTTCTTTCTGTGCTATACTTACTTTCTGTAAAAACGAGAGGTTGGAATAGATGCCTCTGGGATCTCTTCCATATCTTAATCTATGATCTTACAATGTTAGAGTTTATGGGACACAGCAAGGGAAGGAAGGCAGAGGCATCACAGCATTGCAGAAAGCATCTTTCCACCAAGACACTACCCTATGTCACCTGGCTTCTCTAGAGGCTATATTCAAGGGAGTTGAACAAGAACTTTCTCCTGCTTCAGCTGCCTATACTGTTCTTTGAACTACTAATTCTGTTACTGATGCTAAAGGTTCAGACTCATAGTGTAGAGCTATATATGATACAGCTAGGTGTGAATAGAGTGCTGGACATGGAATCAGAAAAACCTAGGTTTAAATCCTGTCTCTGAGATTTAGTGGCTATGAGACCAAGAAGAAGTCATATAGCCACTCAGTCTTCGTTTCTTCACGTGTAAAATGAAGATAATGATACCTGTAGTATTTTTAGGTAGGTATCACAATGGAGAGAGCCCTGGTCCTAGAGTCAGGAAAACCTGAATTCAGACTTGGCCGTAAACACTTACTAGCTGTATTACCCTGGGCAAGTCACTTAACCTGTCTGCCTTGGTTTCTTCAACTGTAAAAATGAGGATAATGGCACCTACCTCCCAGGAGTTTTGTAAGAATCATATAAAATAATATTTTATACATAAATTTTTTTTAAGGTGTGGCAATTGGGGTTAAGTGACTTGCCCAGGGTCACACAGCTAGGAAGAGTCAAGTCTGAGACCAGATTTGAACTCAGGTTCTCCTGACTCCAGGGCCAGTGCTCTATCCAATGTACCACCTAGCTGCCCCAAAATAATATTTTTAAAAGCACTTAGCACAGTGCCTAGCACAGAACAGAAGCTTAATAAATTTTTAACCTCTTCCTCCTGCCTTACCTATTCACCAGGTTGTTGTATGGCTCAAATTATATAATATACAAAAAAAACCCTACTAAGTTGTATCATTCAGAATGATATAATCAAACACTTGAGAGTGGAAGATCTGGAACAAAAAAACCAGAAGACACAAATCAGAGAGCAAGTAAGATGTATACTATTCTTTACCTCCTCATAAACCCTGCATCCTGAAAGCACTATATTGGGCCGGAAGTTGTTTGCTTTAACCTTCTTCTCAAGCCTGGAATTAAGATCTGCCAGTGAGGCCTCAGAGAGAATCAAGAAAGGGCTGGCATCAGCGTAAGAGACCTGCACAGTAAAGAAGGGGGAAAGAAAAAAGAAAAGAAAAGGAAAGGATTAGTCTGAAATGCATACACATGAGCTGCCCCAAATTTGATTACAATTATTACAAAAGTACCTGTGTGTGCAAGTAACTGCGCATTGTATAACATTCCTTTATCACAAGCAAGTTAAAACTCAGTGACTGGAACTAAGATATCTATCTGCAATAATGGCTTTAGATTAGATTTCTCAAAGTGTTGATACGTATGTATGTGTGTATATGTCTGTGTTGTATGAGTATTTATAATGAAAAATTATAAAATAGGCTATAAAAAAGTGAATGCAAATTGTATATTTATTTCTTTACTTCTACAGCTCCTGTAAGAGAATGAGAACAGTCATCTAGAGGCCAATCTGTTACTAACAAGCTATGTGACTACAGGCAAGTTAGCTAGCCTCTCTGAGCTTCCATTTCTTCATCTTTAAACTAAGGCAGCTGAACTAGATTGAGGATTCTTCATCTGTTTTTATTTCACGGACCCCTTTGGCAGTCTGACGGATCCTATAGACTAATCAGAATAATGGTTTTTTTTTTCAAATAGGAAATGCACGTCACTTCCAGTTGGAGATTAGTAAAAATAAAGATGTAATTATTTTCCCGCTCAAGGTCATAGACCCCCTGAAATCTCTTCAGAGACCCCAAATCCTCTGCACTAAGCCATCTTTAAGGCCACCTCCAGCTCCAGTATTTTAAAGATTTATCAGAGTAACTTAAAAAAAAACATTAACAACTTGCAAATTGCCCAGCCTCCTTTCCACCAATCAAAACATTGCACTGATGATTCATCCTTCATTAATAGGCACATGGTATTTCCCCAGTTCAGTTTTACTTACTACAATTCTTATTTGCCTTCAGCCTTATTTCTTTGAGGGTCAGTCTAATTTTTTTCAGCTTGAGTCAACAACTGTTAAAACACATGTTGTAATTCAACACAACTATAACGACAGCCATAGAATTTTATAATCAAAGTGATATTCCACTATGGGGTGAAAGGAAGACAGTTAAAGATCAAATAAATAATACTTGTAAAGCTCTTAGCACAGTATCTGGTACACAGTAGGTTCTATGTGAATGTTTGTTCCCTTTCCCTTCTCGTTTTCCTCCAACCTTCCACCTCTGGATTAAAACCATATCCAACAGCAGAAGAACAAAAATATTCATAGATCAAATAGTACTGATTTCTTTGTCTTCAAACCACATCATTACCACAGCTCTAACAGGAATAAGAAGACAGTAGCTTAAGGAAGATAAAATTTGAGGTGTTCAAAATACTAAACAGCAATCAGTGCTAATATAGCAAAAAATAGTATTTTTAACTCATTTCCTGACCTATTAAAGGCATTGTGGCTACTCCGGCAAGCTTCTGTCATGGATATAACATGGATATAACATTAAACCAAACGGCCAATGGAGATTATACACCATTTATCTCAGGAACCAAGAAGAAAATAATTTACAAATTGACATATCAAAGGAAAATCCTTCTCATCAAACCTTATCTATAGACCGGAAATAATCCAGTATTTGTTTGGAATTTCTTGGCTGCATGTGAGGCTCAAAATGTACCAGACGATAGGGCTGAGTCTTCAGAAAGCTAGTAATCCATTGAGCTGCCTCATCACCACAATCTCTTCCCTCAATCTCAAGGCCATGAACTCTATAGGAGGCAACAGAAGGGAAAAGTTAGAATTTGAAACTCAGAACACATACTTTTAAAAATGTAGACATGACATACTGAACAAAGATGTATTCTTTATTATTACTATTAGATACTTCCTCTGCCCCTGAAACAGTAACTTCATACTCCAAAGAAGGGTCAAGTGGGGATTCAGAAGACCTGAGTTTTAATCCTGGCTTTGACAACAAGTCATACTACACAGGTACCATTTTATGCTTCATTTTCCTAATATATAAAATAGGAATTTGAAGTATTGACTAATAACCAACAAGTATTTATTAAGTACCTACTATGTGCCAGAAATTGCTCTGGGCATTCTCAGTTCTACCTCCACAACATGTCTTGCATCCATCCCCTTCTCCCCATTCACATGGTCACCTCTCTAGTTCAGACCTTCATCACTTCTAGCCCGGTCAATCATAATAGCCTCCTTTATGGTCTTCCTGCCTCCCATCTCTTCTCTCTCTAATTCACCATCCACATACCTGCCACAGTGACATTCTTAAAGCTCAAGGCTGACCATGTCATTCCCTGACTCAGAAAATTCCAGTGGCTCTTGGGAAAAATAAAAACTCTATGTTTAGTATTTAAAGCCCTTTCACAATCCAGATCTGACCTAATTTTCTAGACTTATTGCATACTACTCTGCGTCATGGACTTTACATTTTGGCCAAATGGGCTTTCTTAAGTTGTTCAGACTCAGCATTCCATCTCCTCTTTCCGTTCCTTGGAACAGCTGTTCCCCATGCCTAAATGCACTCCCTCTTCCTCTGAGGCTCTCAGAATCTCTGCTCTCCTCCAGTGCTTAGCTTCAGTGCTACCTTCTACTCGAGGCCCATTCTGAACCACAACCCATACCCCTGCCAATTGCTAATGCCACTCTCCAGAAAATGCTTTGTATCAATCTGTGTCTGTGTCATATTTACTTCTGTCTACATGTCTCCTTACAAAAGAACATAAGCTCTTTGAGGCCAAAGACTTTCAATTCATCTCTATCCTAAGTGTCTAATAAGTTGTGTCTGGTACAAGGTAGAGATTGAATCGCTGAATTAGTAGAGGCAGGGAACTTCCCGACTGGGAATTATCTACAGCAAAGGTGTCAAACATGCGGTCCTGTGGGCCACATGTAGCCCATAGTACTCCTGCAGCCTGCACCAGATTAGAATATGATCAGGTAAAAGTTAACAAAATAAACAAAAATAAAATAAAACATAGATAATGTTAATATGTGGTCCAAAGGGCTCCTTATGTATGGTTTATTGCCTCTGTCCCTTTCTATTAGAATTTGACACCACTGGTGGGTAAAGTTACAGATCCAGACCAAAGTAAAAATGTCACCCAAGGCACTTGAGATACAAAGACAAAAAAAAAATCAGATAATATATGCCCTCCAGGAGTCTATCCTCTAAACAGGGAGAGAGGGATGTGAGATATATAAATACAGTATTTTATTATCCTTTTCTTTCATGGCTCAAGTCCTTTGTGAACAGCCTTCTCTGACTGTTGCTATTCAGTCCTTTTTAGTCACGTCCGACTCTTCATGACCTCATTTGGGGTTTTCTCAACAAAGATACTAGCATGGCTTGCCATTTCCTTCTCCAGCCCATTTTACAAATGAGGAAACTGAGGCAAACATGATTAAGTGACTTGGCAGGGTCACACAGCTAGTAAGTGTCCGAGGCCAGATTTGAACTCGGGAAGATGAGTCTTCTGACTCTAGGGCAATTACTCTATCCACTGTGTTACCTAGCTGCCCCATATCCTTCCCTGATCCACCCACTTAAAAGTGTCCTCTCCCCACTCAACTTTCCCTAGGCCCTTTTGTCTAGATCTGCCCTCTTTCCCCATTGCACTCTACCTTGCATTATACCTATCCTCACATCGTATACCATGAGAGAAACTTTTCTTCTCGGGGGAGTCCGAAAAAACGTTAGGAACAGAAGGGAATCTAAAACCTTTGAACTCCACTTTCAAAGCTGCCTCCAGAGCTAGACCAGGTCCTAGGATCATAGGTGAAATGCACAAAGAGACTTCAAAAGCCACCCAGTCCAACCCCCTCATTACACAAACGAGGAAACTGAGGTCAAGGCAAGCTAAGCGATTTGCCCAAGACTGCAATGGTAGTAAGCGACCAGAAGAGAAGAACCCCAGTCCTCTGACTGGAGACAGTACTCTTTCCACTGTACCACACAACCAATCTCTCACAGCACTCTATTCACACCTTGTTTGGATGTGCCAAACACTTCATCAGTCAACCAACAAGCATTATCAAGCATCTCCAAGGCCCTGGCACTGTGCTAGAGACTTGGGATACAAAGATAAAAAAATGAAACAATCCCTTCTCTCAAAGAGCTTGCATAATAAAAGGTACTCTCTCCTTCCCTCTCTGCCCCAACCCCCACTACATACACACACACACACACACACACACACACACACACACACACTTTATTCACAAGAATAATTTTTTTTGCCTATTTCAAAAAATACAACTTCCCACCAAAGAACTAGGGCAATGAGATGGTGTAGTGACCAGAGGGCTGGGCCTGGAGCCAGGAAGACTCATCTTCCTGAGTTCAAATCTGGCTTCAGATGCTTACCGGCTGTGTGACCCTGGGCAAGTCACTTAACCCTGTTTGCCTCAGTTTCCTCATCTGTAAAATGAGCTGGAGGAGGAAATAGCAAACCACTCCAGCATCTCTGCCAAGAAAACCCTAAACAGGGTCATAAAAATCAGACACAACAACTCAACAATCACACCAAGGAATAAAGAATCACCAATACTGCAAATATTCCAAAGAATGAACTATAAGCCATTCCAAAGAAGGAATTCTCAGAATGTTTGTGATAATCACAGCACCACAGCACTCATTTCATAGCCTCCCAAAAGAACTAATCTAAAAGATACTCATTTGGAGGTACAAGATCCAATGTGTTCAGTCTAATATCAAATTACCTTCTAATCACACTTTCGACAGTTCCCCTCATTCCTCTCCCCTGAACTCCACCATGGCAGCCTTTAGAAGTCAGCTATCACTGTCTTGGGCAGTGAAATGTCAACCTACTAATAAACATTAATGGGCAGCTTCCTTTTGGGGAGAAAGAGGATTTGAGAGACCGGGGAGGGAGTTGGAGTAGTTTAAGAAAAGGAGTGATAATGCAATGTAGAGACGACAGCGAATAATTGCCTTAGAAGGATTTATATTTATCTTGAGTCAATGGCATGGGGGGACAGGGGGAAGATAAGAATTTCTAGTCCCTCTACTTGCCAACAGTTTCCATAGTAACCACTCTATAGGCACTTGTTTTTATACTCACATACTGAACTAAGTTTGATGAACAGAAATGGCTCTTCTTACCCCATCCCAAGTGTAGAATGAATCAGATGTAGATTCAATTAGGGGACCACAGAATCTCAGTCGAAGCGGGGATCTTCAGAGGCCATCTAGTACAACCCATCCCAGAACAGGACTACAACATCCCTGATGAATGGTCATACAATTTCTTCTTGAATATCCCTCATATGGGGGAAATTACTACCTCCATACCACAACTGGACACCGCTGATCATTGAGAAGTTTTTCAACAAATGGAACTTCCCTAAACAGAGGGAACAGATGACACTAAGTCTGCAAATAAGGCCAAGAGCACAAAAAATACCTAGGCCTAGGCCAACTGAATTCAGAAAATGGACACAGATTCTATCACCTCAATTACAACCATCATCTCTATTGTCTTCTGCCCTAGCCTGGCTGTGTTATTAGAGATCTATACTCTACTGACAAAAAAAAAAATTAAAAGATCAAGGACATAATATATGCAATACACAATATACATATAACACATAATGATAGTGATGATAATCATAATAATAATAGCGGCTAACCTTTATATAGTGTTTTAAGGTTTGCCATATGCTTCATATACCTTTTCCCATTTGATCATCTGACTCGGGGAAGGCACAGTTAGACATAGTTCGTTTAAAAGAGAAAAAAATCTGAAAGGTTTAGTGGACTGCAAACTCAATATGAATCAGCAATGTTATGTGGCAGCTCCCCAAAAAAGCTAACGCAGTCTTGGGCTGTGTTAAGAAAGTCATAGCTTCAAGAATAAGGAGGCTGTAGTGTAGTGTATCTATATCTAGCCCTGGTCAGACCACAATTGCAGTCCTATGTTCACTTCCTAGTGTCACAGTTTAAGAAGCCCATTGATAAGCCAGAGAATATCCAGAGGAGGGCAAACCAGGATGGCAAAGAGTCTGAATTCATGCCTTCTGAGGATCACGAGTTAAAGGAACTAGGTATATGTAGGATGGAGAAGACAATACCGAGGGGGAACATAATCAGTGTGTTCAAGCATGTGGAAGAGGGATCACACTTGTTTTGTTTGGTTCTAGAAGGCAGAACCAGAAGCCATGTGTAAAAGTTGCAAAGAGGAAATGTAGGAAAAATCTTCTAAATCAATTAGAGTTGGCCCATAATGGAAGAAGGAAACAGCAGACCACTCCAGTATCTTTGCCAAGAAAATCCCATAATGGGGTCACAAAGAGTCAGACATGACTGAATAGCAACAACATAATAGAATGAGTGGCTTTGAGAGGTGGTGAACTCCCCTTCACTGGATATCCTTGAACAGAGGCTGGTTGACCATTTGTCAGGCATATTATATAGGAGGGATTCCTTTTGGGGTAAAAGATGGCCACTGAAGTCCCTTCCTACATTCCAATTCAGTGATTCTGTGATCCTCACAATAACCTTATGAGGTAGATATTATTTTACAAATGAGGAAACTGAGGCTGAAATGACTTGCCTGGGATCACAATGCTAATATGTATCAGAAGCAGGATGGGAAACCAGGTTTTCCTGCCCGCAAGCCAGGTACTCTATCAATTGTATTCAAGATCCTAAACCCACAAAATCCCCACCACCACCACCACCAAAAGAAAGAAAAAAGTTTGACCTAAAAAAATCAAATTCTAGTTTGGAACTTACACCTCCACTTCTTTTTGGTAGCAAAAACACGATTGCGGGGCAAAAATAATTAGAAAGCAATATTTCTTTTGGAATTCCCAAATACGGACACAAAGAGTAGTGGAGAAAAGCCAGAAGTGACCCTGACTTCATGAAGAATACTCAGAATCTCTCTGAATTAACTAGAAATCTTTAAGAAATTATGTGTGGGCTCTGGTTACAAATTCTTTATAGGAGGATGGTTTCACCCATGGAGAGCAAACTTAACCTTTGTCCAAAGCAGTTATATGCTGACAGAGATTTTAACATTTGGCTATTTATAAATGTTTAACCTTTCAGACCAAAAAGTTTACATGAGACCATGTAGAACCAGGAAAATGTCTTTTTTTTTACATTGTTCTTTTTTTAAATATAAATTTATTTATTTTTAGTTTTCAACATTTACTTCCACAAGATTTTGAATTCCAAATTTTCACCCCATCTCAGCCCTCCCCCAACCCCAAGATGGCATGCATTCTAAATACCCCTTCCCCTAGTCTGCCCTCCCTTCTATCTCTCCCCCTCCTTCTCTTATCCCCTTCCCCTTCTATTTTCCTGTAGGGCAGGATCGATTTCTGTACCCCATTTCCTGTATTTATTTCCCAGTTGCATGTGAAAACATTTTTTTAAAACATGTGTTTTTAAAACTTTGGGTTCCAAATTTTCTCCCTTCCTCCCTCCCCACCCACCTTCATTGAAAAGGCAAGCACCTCAATGCAGGCCATACGTGTGAAGTTATGTAAAACACTTCCATAGTAGACATGTTGTGAAAAACTAACTCTATTTCCCTTAATCCTATCCTGCCCCTCCCATTTATTCTATTCTTTCTTTTGACCCTGTCCCTCCTCAGAAGTATTTGCTTCTGATTACCCCTTTCCCAATCTGCCCTCCTCTCTATCATCCCCCTGCTCTCTTGTCCCCTTTCCCCTCTATTTTCCTGTAGGGTAGGACAGATTTCCATACCCAAATGAGTGTGTATGTTATTCCCTCCTTAAGCAAATTCTATGAGAATAAGATTCCTTCATTCCCTCTCCCCTTCCCCTGTTTCCTCTCCACTGTAAGAGCTTTTCTTTTGTTTTTGTGAGATAATTTACCCCATTCTACCTCTCTCTTTCTCCTTCTCCTAGTATAATCCTCTCACCCCTTAATTTTATTCTCCAGATATGATCCCTTCATCTTCAACTCACCCTGCACCCTCTATCTATATCTATCTATCTATCTATCTATCTATCTATCTATCTATATACACACACATACATATAATTTTTCCCTCCAACTACCCTAATACTGACAAAGGTCTCATGAGTTATAAGTACTATATTTCCATGCAGGAATGTAAACAGTTCAATCTTAATAAGTCTCTTATGATTTCTCTTTCCTGTTTACCTCTTCACGTTCCACTTGAGTCCTGTATTTGAAAGTCAAATTTTCTATTCAGCTCTGGTCTTTTCATCAGGAATGCTTGAAAGTGCTCTATTTCACTGAATGACCATTTTTTCCCCTGAAGGATTATACTCAGTTTTGCTGGGTAGGTGATTCTTGATTGTAATCCTATCTTCTTTGCCCTCTGGAATATCATACTCCATGCCCTGCGGTCCCTTAATGTAAAATCTGCTAAATCTTGTGTCATCCTGATTGTGTTTCCACAATAGTTGAATTGTTTCTTTCTGGCTGCTTGCAATATTTTCTCCTTGACCTGGGAACTCTGGAATTTGGCTATAATATTCCTAGGAGTTTCAGGAAAATTTCTTGTATAAAGGAATTACTGAAGGTCAAATTTCATTAATACAGCTCCAAAGGAACTTCTGTGACTTAACTAATTCTTTTTTTTTGGGGGGGGGGGCAAGTAATGTTGCTTCAACAAGCTAGTAACCTCAGCTTTCCAAATCTTTAGAATCTACAGAAATTGTTTTGTGATGTTATTTTTGTACCTTTTACCTATATCTAGCAATTATTTTGTGTTTCTTCTCCTACATACTATAGATGTTTCAAAAATTCTTCAGTGAACTCTCTTTCCTAAAGTTTCTAATTTATTAAATGCATACAAAATAAAGTCCCCAAAGAAAGAATATTAAAATCACCTCGCACCTTACCTGCACTTCCTCACCACATTGGCGGTGGGTACTTTGACAGGCAGAATCAAGTCTTGGGTGTAGGCTGCACTGAGGATCAGGGAGTCGTTTTCACAGGTTAGGGAAATTAGCACCAGGCGAGGCTCCTGTCGAGCAGTGACCATGTTCCCTTCTTCATTGACGACGAGCCAAAACCTGCCGTTAGCAGAACACAGCAACAGGAGGCACACAGAGATAATCAGAGCACAGCAGCAGAGTGCCCCGAGGCTATATTTAGTGGACTTCGAAGGAAAGGGAGAAGGGGAAGGGGAAAAAATATGGTACCATATAGCAATGCTGAATTTACCTCTTAGATTTCAAGGTCCAATGATCACACAGTAAACGAATACATAGCTATAAAGCACTATGAGTTGCTTGAGGTTATGGAAATTCAAAAGTAGTATCCAGAGATAGTATATAACAATGGGGGAGAAAGCCACTCTTGGGAATTAGAAAGACCTGTATTCATGTCCTGTTTTCGACATACACTAGATGTATAACCATGGGGAAAGGACTTAAGCCCTCAGTTCCTCAGAGGGAACTCTAAAACAATGTTACAGGTAAAGTGATCTGTGTGTGATCTTCCTGAAATCAGGAAGACTCATTTTCCCAAGCTCAAATCTGGCCTCAGACACTTACTAGCTGTGTGACCCTGGGCAAGTCACTTAACTCTTTGCCTCATTTTCCTCATCTATAAAATAAGCTGGAGATAGAAATAGCAAACCGCTCCAGTTTAAATGGGGATCACAAAGAGTTGGACACAAGTGAAATGACTGAACAACAATGTGATTTGTATTAGTGGAGGGAGGTTTCACACTGAAAGTTCCCTCTAGTGATGAAATCAGCTCTGGCTCTCAGACCCACCTAACAATGGTGTGATAGAAAATGGTGTGAGAGACAAAGTTCCAAGCATGGATCAATTTATTAACTAGACTGTTGTTGTTTAGTCATATCTAACTCTTCCTGACCCCGGGGACCATAGCGCACCAACACTGTCCATGAGGTTTTCTTGGCAAAAATATTGGAGTGATTTGCCATTTTTTTTCTCCAGTGGATTAAGGTAAACAGAGATTAAGTGACTTGTCTAGGGTCATGCAGTTAGTGACTGAGGCACTATTTAAACTCAGTTCTTCCCGACTCCATGTCCAGGACTTTATCCACTAAGCCACCTGCATTAGCTTGGTCAGCAATAACCAATAAAGTGGGTCTCTCAATAACCAAAGACCTCAAGTGAGGGAGGGCAGGTCTTTTATGGTGATTGACAGGATGACAGAGCAAAATAAACATAGCTGTATCTGAGCTACATAGGTGTGCCTGAGCAACTTAACTGTTCTCATTGGCCAGAAAATAAAGACCTTCTGACATCAGCTTGACCTTACAATTGTTTGGACCTCTCCTTCCGAAATCCCTCCTCAACCACAAACAACATATGTGTTACCAGACAAAGGTAAAATAATCCTGACTGATAGACATTTCAATGGAAAGGTGGGATAAGGCTCATCTCAGCCCCTTCCCATTACATCATTGGGAGATGAGATCAGTTCTCAGCTGATGGCGGTAATCCTCAGTCACTGGGTTTAGTCTGCAGATGCCAGTTGGTACAAGAGTTGAAATTGATGAGATTTAACCTTTTAGGTTTATCAGGTTTCTCTGGAGTGTGGGTGGTGAGTGAAGTTACTAGGGTAAAGAACAGTGAAGGGGAATATTAAATCTAGCTTGATTAAGTCTTAACAAAATAGAATTTAAAATTAATTTTCAATTTCACAACAAGCAGGATAGCAACAAAAACCTGATCATTTTCAAGCATAACCTAAGGAAGTGATATTTTTAATTCACAGAAAACTTTGGTGGGTATTTCCTGTAATGAAGTCTTATGTTTATTTTCCTTTATAATCTACAGTGTGAAATAGTAGATAATGTGCTGAACCTGGAGTCTAGAAGAACCTAGCTCAGATCCTTTCTCTAAGGCTCACTAGCCATTTGACTATGGGCCATTCACTTCATGTCCTAGAGCACAAGCAACTGCTTATGATTTATCTACTAGATAAAAAGAGTTTCTACTTGGAAGTTTCCACCCTTTCCCTAAATAAAGACCACAGAAGAAGGCATATTAGTTTATTAAAAAAAAATTCAGTTTACAGATATGAGAAATTAATGAGCCAAGTTCACAATTCAAGCCCCTTATCCATACACTTACCTATTTTGTATAGCAAATTCAGTGACTTTATTACTCTATTAAATAAAGAAGCACTGCTGTGGGGGGAGGGGGCAGCTAAACAGCAAAGTAGATAGAGCACCAGGCCTGGAGTCAGGAAGTCCTGAGTTCAAACTTGGCTTCAGTCACTTACTAGCTGTGTGACCCTGGACAAGTCACCTAACCCTGTCTGCCTCAGTTTCCTCATCTATCAAATGAGCTGGAGAAGGAAATGGCAAACCACTCCAATATCTCTGCCAAGAAAACCCCAAATGGTGTCATGAAGAGTCAGACTCGACTGAAAGACTGAACAACAACTATTCTTGAGGGGCATTGGAGGCCAAGGACTCCTAGCTTTGGAGAAAGGAGAGCAGAGAGCAGAAAGTGAGTGAGGGCACTTTCACTGAAGATACAAATTGCACGTTTGGAATTTGTAGGGACACTTTCCTGATAAGGATATATGGAAGTAATTTGGATGTAAATACCCCCATCCATTGTTTAGAGAGCTATTGGTGCAGCACTACCATTTCCATCATACTCATGTGACAGAAACACGGCTAATATGTTCAAAACCCTAAAAGACAGGTCATATCATTCCCAGAAGGGTCAAAGGATATAATCCTGTCCCTAATTCTCTCCATCCTAACCCTCCCTCTCCCAATAAAATATTTACTAGTGTCATTTGAATGTTTTGGTTCTTATCGATAGATAGCCAAGACAAGCAAATATAATCAAAGGATCCCGGAAGGAACCTAAGTATTGCTTAATCCAATCCCCTAATTTTTCAGATGAGGAAACTGCAACCCAGAGAGGAGTGAACTAAATTGCCGGAGATCACAGAAGCAGTAAAATTATAGTATCAAGATTGGAAACCAAGTCCTCTGACTTTTGCTTCCTTTGCATCATGCCAACCTCCTGGAATCAATCATTATTCAAATTCTGCAATCTCATTTTCCAGAACAGATCTGTCCTTCCTCCCCTTGCTGCTCACCTTTCCGGTCTCTCATTCCTCCATTGGTCAAAGGAATGGAAGGGGTGGGGCAGGGGAAGGAAGAAGGGAGCAGACCTAATCTCTCCATTTTCCTATTTCTTCCAAAAATGTGAGGGGAAATTGAAAATAATGGTTAAGAGAAGCTGGATCTGTGAACCTGTCATTACCCCAAGTTTCATGAAATGCAGGAGCCCAGAAGTTAATTATGGACTTAATTGACCAAAATGGGCCCTTTCCAGTCCTCAACTCCATTTTCCCTTCAAGGGTAATTGGATTTAAAGTGCAGGCAGCTGTCCAGCAGCATCTTAAATAGGACCCCTGGAAGGTGGCATCAAAGTTGTCTTTCCCCAATAGAATCTAAGCTCCTCAAGGTCAGGAATTACTTTGATTTTTTTTTAATTACTTTTCATCCCTGGCATCTACAACAGATGGAAGAGCCCTTGGGAGCCAAATCTAGCCTCTTTATGTTACAGATGAAGAAAATGAGGCCCAAAGAGATTAATGACTTGGCCAAGGTTACACAGCAAGTAAAGTATCTGAGATAACATTCTCACTTCCCAATGTTAAGTCCAATACTCTGTCTACTGTGACACTAAATAAAAGGTTATTGACTGATTGATTAGGCCAGCTAGGTGGTGTAGTGGATAGAGTAGTGGTTCTGGAGGCCCTCAGTTCAAATCTGGCCTCAGACAATTAGGTGTGCGACTCTGGGCAAGTCACTTTAGCCCTGTTTGCCTCCGTTCCTCATCTGTAAAATGCATTGGAGAAGGAAATGGCAAACCATTCCAGTTTGGGAAGAAAATCCCAAATAGAGTCATAGAGGGTCCAACATAACTGAACAACAGATTGATTGATTGGTTTCATTGAGCTGGGGATGCTGGGGGTATGAGGAGGGAGAGTGGCCTGCTTTCACAAAGTCTCTGAATGTTCATTTTTGCCTTCGTCTGGTTTTATTATTCATCATTACATGAAACTCCCTATGTAAGGGGCACCCTCACATAGAGTAATATAGAACAATGCAGATCCCCAACACAACTGAAAGAGATCTTTTGAAAGTTGCTTAGGTCAATGAGGGGCAATTAAGGGACTTGCCCAAGTCACCCCTCTCCCTAGTGAGTGTGAAAGACATAACTTGAACCCAGGTCTTCTGGACTCCAAGTCTGGCTGGTCCTCTAACCGATGTGTCACAATACCTATAGGGTGCTCTGAGATGATTTTTCCATTTCCAACTGTTCAATGAACATTTAATATATGAATTTTCCATCATTCGGACACACGAAGGGCTGTGGGGACTTGGCAGTAATTGTGAGCCACAATTCCTCATATTGGGAGACTGTGAAAACAGCCAGCAACTGAAGACTAGGTCAAAATGTATATTTGCATTTTGTACATTAATGTAGGAGCCTGTCCACCCCCGCCCACTCCCTATCCCAGGGACTGGAGTTGTGCCCAGAGCGGGACGGTACCTGTCTCTCAGGTTGCCGCTGCGCAGCCCCAACTCGGTGCATTCAGCCTCGTTCACAGGCACCCCCTTGCAGGACTTGATGGGGTAGATCCAGAGCTGTGCCACTGTGCCCACCTGCTGCAGCCGCCGCTGTCGTCTCCGCCGCCGCCGGTCCCTCGTGCTCCAGGCGGCGGCCCCCAGAGCCGCCGCGGCGGCCAGTCCCAGCGCGGCCGCCCACAGCCAGGCGGCCCTGGACTGCGCCGAGGCTGGGAGCGCAAGACGGAGGCGGAGCTGGAGGAGGCTGAGCCCGGTGAGGGCAGACGAAGCTGCGGCGCCCATGACTGCGGAGGGAAAGGCTAAGAATGTGCGCTGTCGAACGGCCGTGGAGCAGAGGAGAGCGCGTGCAGCTCGTGGGGCCCCGCACCGACGGGGCACGCAGGAGCTGGAGCCCTAGGCTCGGCCACCGGCCAGGGCCTCGGTGGGAGGCGCGGGCCCTGGCCCGACGCCCCGAGTGGGAGGGGAGAGCCCTGCACCCTTTGCGCTTCCGCCCTGGGCAGCCAGAACTCTGCCCCCCGGGTCAGAAATATCTGGCATTCTCCAGGGAGGGGGAAGAGAGGGTGTGAAGGCCCCCATCGGCCCTGATCTATCCTTCCCTTCCCCATCCATGTCTCATCTTGACTTTAAGTTTCTTTTTAAAAATGAAAATTTATTCTATTCTTAACACCAAAGAGAATGGTCATTTATATATACTTAGGGGAGAAAAAGTACTGTATATAAAACTGTAAATCTCTATCATGTACACCAATGATGGCAAACTCAAATAGAAACAGGAGGCCACCGACCTGTACACAAGCTATATATTGCAGGCTATATATTGGCTTAGTTTCAAAAACATAATGTTATCTATGTTTTATTATAATTATTTATTTTGTTAAGTTTTTCCCAATTACGTTTTAATCCTGTTGGAACAGCTTTCCGAAAGTGTGGCCAGATGTTTGACACCTCTGGTGTACATCATACATTACAGATCTGCAGTTCTTTGTAAACTTCTTATGGACATTGTATAGTCAGCTTGTCTCTTTAAGTGTGTAAGGATAGTCTGAAGCTTCCAAAGATGTTCTGGCCTTCCTTCTGTTCCCTTTGTTTGAACAGGGTCTACTTAAATCTCATCTCTTCTTTCCATTTTCTTTTTGCCATCCTGTCTCTAACCCCTCTTGCCCTTCCACCTATCTCCACTAGAAAATAAAAAATAAAAGCAAAAACCCTGTAACAAGTATACATTTGTCAAGCAAAACAAATTCCCACGTTGGCTGTTTCCAAAAAATTTACTGCTCTCCATCAAGAGGTGGGTAGCGGGGGCAGGTAGGTGGCACAGTGAATACAGCTCCAGCTTTGGAGTCAGGAGGACCTGAGTTCAAATCCAGACTCGGACACTTAACACTTACTAGCTGTGTGACCTTGGGCAAGTCACTTAACCACTTAACCCCCATGCCTCACCCAAAAAAAAAAAGAGCTGAGTAGCATATTTATGTTCTGTATTGTGGAATCAATGGTTGATCATTTCATTATGAATTTCAAGTCCCAATGACTTTGTTTCTACTGGCAAATTCATATTTATTGCTTGCAAATATGAGAGTTTAGGGAAGGCCCAGCAAGAATTGGAATTTTAAAACCAAGCATCAGACACTTCCATGTAAGAAATGTACTCAGCTCTGGGTAGCCTTGTAGATCCTGAATTTTGCAGTATCTTCATAGCTTCAGGTTAACGCTACTGAGTTTAATTCAAAGGGAAATGCAGGACTAGAAGAAGAGGCTATCAAAAAAGAAGGAAGTCACAGAGGCAGAGGTGGAACCAATAGTTCAAACACACACACACACACACACACACACACACATATACACACACACACACGTACACACAGAGAAATGCTTTTCTGCTCTGCTTCCATGAGTATAGTACAGAATGTTGGAGTGTAAGTAGCAATTATTTCTGTTCTGGCCAGAAACTCTGAGGGTCTTCCCCTCTCAGACTGATTCTTATGTGAAGGTAAACTAGACCATCTTTTGCCTCAGTTCTTACCTAGCCTTTAACTACCGAATAGGTATTGTCTCAGACAAACAGAGACCTGGGAAGACCTTAGCTTAAAAAGGCCAAGGTCGCCCACCGCACCCCAGGCCATCTCTAGTCTTCCTGACCTATGTCTTGCCACTGGACCTGAATGACTCTGGAGGAGAGAGTGAGGCTGATGACTTTGCACAGCTCTGCCTCGCTTAAATCCTTACACTTACAAGTCAAGACATCATCCTCCTGATGCCATTGGTCCTCTTCAAGAACCATATATATATCTATATATCTATATATCTATCTAGATCTACATATATATCTATATAGATATATATGTAGATCTAGATAGATATATAGATATATAGATATATATGCCACCATAATATATTTAGCCAGTACCCTTTCAAATTCTCAAACTTTGCTATTTCAAAAAGAACTATAAATATTTGTGTGTGTATCCTTAAAGTTTGTTTTATTTAATTCTAATCCCTCCCTTATTTATTATTATTATTATTCAGTCATGTCTGACTCTTCCTGACCCCATTTGGGGTTTTCTTGGCAAAAAAACTGAAGTGGTTTGCCATTTCCTTCTCCAACTCATTTTACAGATGAGGAAACTGAGGCAAACAGGGTTAAGTAACTTGCCCAGGGTCACAAAACTAGTAAGTTTCTGAGGCCAGATTTGAATTCAAGTCTTCCTGCCTTCAGGCCCAGCACTCTATCCAGTTAACCGCTTAACTACTCCCTTATTTATCTTCCCTCTAATCCCCCTTTTTTTTTCTCCTTTTCTCTCCTATTTCCTTGCTGAATTAAATGTATTTTTCTCCCTTCCTAACCAATTCAGAATGAAGTTCAAGTGTTATCAGCTCCCCCCACCTCCTTATCCTTGCTTGTAGGATGTCTATTTGTGTATCCTGATTATTTGAGATAATTTCCTCCTAATTTTTCCCCTTCTTCCTCTAGTATATTCCTCTTTCTCTCTCTTTCCATTCCTCTTTTAAAATCAAGACAGATGAGAATTAGTTCCAGATCTTCTGTCATCATGTCAGCCTAATTCTGTCTAATTATGACTCCTGATGATGTAGGGCTCAAAGGGAATATATGTATCTAGAATGCTAGCAGTTTATCCTTGTTTAGTCCTTTATCATTGTTCATTTGTGTTTACACTTTTATTTTTCTTTTAACTGCTGTATTTGAACTTCAGAATTTCTATAAAGTTCTGGTCTTTTCATCAAAAATGCTTGGAAGTCTTCTATTTCTTTAAAGATCCCTTTTCTCTCCTATAGGATTATATTCAATTTTGCTAGGTAAGTAACTCATGGCTGTAAGATTTTACATATATATGTATATGTGTGTGTGTGTGTGTGTGTGCACGCGCACGCATATATATGCATACATACATACATAGACACATATTTGTCTTCTGTACTATGGTATTCCAAGCTCTCCTCTTCTTTACAATAGTAGTTGCTGAATCATGCATAATCCTGACTGTGGCTCCTCAGTACTTCAATTCTTCTTTGCTGGCTGCTTGAAGCATTTTTTTCTTTGACCTGGAAGCTCTGAATTTTGGCCATACTTCCTAGGAGTTTTCATTTGGTGATTCTTTCAGGAAGTAACCAGTGGATTCCTTCTATTTCTACATTGCTCTCTGTTTCTAAGAGATCTGGGCAGTTTTCTTTTAAGATCTTTTGAAATATGATGTCTAGCTTCTTATTTTAGTTATAGCATTCAGGTAGTCTGATTATTCTTAAATTTTTTCTCCACAATCTGTATTCCAGATCAGTTGTTTTTGCAATGAGACAGCTTGAATGTTCTTTTTTTCCAGACATTTGACTTTGTTTTAATATTTCTTCTCTCATGGAGTCATCTGCTATTTGATTCTTTCTATTTTTCAGAGTTTATTGCTCAGTCCAGGTTTTGTACTTCTTTTTGGCAAGCTGCTAATTCCTTTTCCAGTTCTTTCTTCCACAGCTTTCATTTTCTTTCTGATTTTTTTCCTTTAGCAGTCTCAATTCATTGACAAAAAAAATTAACTTTTTAAAAGTATATGTTTTATTTCTTTGATCCAGCAATTTAACTCTTTTTAAAAACTCTTCGAGCAGGTAGATGGCACAGTGGATAGAGCTCTGCCCTTGGAATCAGGAGGACTTGAGTTCAAATCTGGCCTCAGACACTTGACACCTATTAGCTGTGTGACCCTGGGCAAGTCATTTGACTCCAATTGCTTTGCCAAAAAGGAAGGGAAAAAAAAAGGAAAAAAACTCTTGCTTCATCTCTTTGGAGAATTCTCATTGAATGTGTGCCCAGCCTGTGTTTTCCTTTGAGGCTTTTCTTGTAGATATTTTGGAGTCATTCTCTTCTAGGTTTGTATTTTGTGTGTCCTTGTAGCTTTTTATGGTGGGATTCTTTCTATTTGCTCATTCTTTCAGCCTACTTTCCAGCTTTGGACTCTTAGGGTCAGGTCTTATACTTCAATAGGGAAGATCCTACTGCTGCTTCCTTGGTGTATTGAATGTGTGTTGTTCCAGGATCTGAGGGTCAGTTTAGGCCCTGGAACTACAAACTTTTCAGTGCTCCCAAAGTGATCTGATCCAGAGCCAAATCTGACTACTAGCTTCCTGGCCTAAACTCTACAAGTTCCTAACCTAAGTTTGAATCTGAGCAGCAGTAGACTGCTTCTAGATGTCACTATGCCACTGTCATCTAATGGAGAATCTCTACTAGTTTAGAGTTACAGAACTGCAGTCTCCCCTTTGGTTTGGGATTCCTGCCCTGGTTATTCTTCTAGAGTTGTCAGATTGGGCTGGAGGCTAGGACAGATACCCTACCCGCTTCTGGTATCTGCACCAGATTTCAGCTGCTGGCTCCTCAACTTGCTCTTCTCTATATACCACCTAGGGCCTGCGACCTTTGGGGAAGATGGAAGAGGCAAAGGTCCATTTCCACCCCGATCCCCATCGGTCCACCCTGGTTCTGTGACCTAGCACTAGGTAATAGGCAACAAAGGTGCCAGTTCACATCTGTCTCTGTCCAGGTAAGGGCCTGGGGGGTGCCCCAGTATGGGTCTGGAACCACTTCTTGCCTCAGTTTACAGCCTCTCTCCGGGCTCCTGTATGCTCTGCTCCAAGCGCTCCACACTATGCCTAGTCCCCAGTGTCCATGGATTTCTCTATCTCCTTGTGCCAACCCTGCCTGTAAAAATGATTCGCTACGACTCTTTCTTGAATTTCCCAACAGGAGTGTGTCTGGTGCTTTTTCTAGATCTGTTGGAGGAATTTGGAGGTGGAAGCTCCTTCCTGCACTGCTCCTCATCGCTCCACAGTCCTGGCTCCTCCCCTCTTTGCTATTGTTAGTAACCTGCCCTTGTCCTTTTTCCTCCCTATCCCCTTTCATTTCTGCTCCCATTCTTAGAACCCGAACTATATGGCTGTACCCTCCC